CTCGATGCCAAGGTAATAGGACATAAGTCCTATATCAGTCATCTCAAACTCTTTAGTCATTGCCTTCTTGAAATCTTTGATCATGCTAGGCGAATTTCCTGTAAAGATGAGATCATCCACGTACAAACAAACAAGCAACATATCTCTATTGCCTGAAAACTTCACATAGAGTGCATGTTCACTTGGACATTTCTTGAAACCATTTTCTTGAAAATAGTGATCAATTCTTGTATTCCAGGCTCTTGGTGCTTGTTTCAAACCATATAAAGCCTTCCTTAGCCTGAGAACTTTATTCTCATCGCCTTTGACCACATATCCTTCTGGCTGCTCCACATATATTTCTTCTTCAAGAAAGCCATTTAAGAATGCAGACTTTACGTCCATTTGATGGATTTTCCATCTATTTTGGGCAGCGATAGAAATTACTAACCTGATAGTCTCCAAGCGAGCAACAGGAGCAAATACCTCTTCGTAGTCAATGCCATGTCTCGCTTGTAGCCTTTGGCGACAAGTCTTGCTTTGTACTTCTCAACTTCTCCTTTAGCGTTCTTCTTTGCTTTGAACACCCACTTTACTCCAATTGCTTTGTGGCCTTTTGGAAGAGAGGCTAGCTCCCAAGTTTGATTCTTTTCTATGGATCTTATTTCCTCATCCATAGCGTGTCTCCACTTCTCGTTCCTTGCTGCCTCTTCGTAACCTAGAGGTTCACACAAGAAAAGGCGAAGAGTGTGAGAGCCTCTATGCGTTCTGTTTCCTCATAGATCTCTTGTAGGCTTCTCGTCCTTTGTGACTCTTCATTCAAAGGTGAATGTGGACTTTGAGGTTGCTGAGTATCTTCACCTGCATCACTACTGTTATCATCGTATTCATGGATGATAGGAAGGAAGTCGTAGCTTTCGTCACCTTCAATATTCCAGTTCCAGGTTCCTTTTTCATCAAACTCTACATCTCTACTCACAATAACTTTGTTCGTGACTGGATTGTAGAGCTTATAACCTTTTGACTGTTTGTCATAGCCAACAAAGACATGCTTCTCGCTTCGATCATCAAGTTTGGACCGCTTTTGGCTTGGTACATGGGCATATGCTATACTCCCAAATACTCGTAGGTGATTTACTGTGGGCTTTGTCCCATTCCATGCTTCTTGTGGAGTCTTGTCTTCTAGACTCTTCGTGGGACATCGATTTAGTAGGTATCTTGCACAATCAACTGCTTCACCCATAACTCCTTTGGCATCTTCTTGCTCTTTAGCATGCTACGAACCATATTGAGAATGGTTCTATTCTTCCTTTCAGCAACTCCATTTTGTTGCGGAGAGTAAGGAGCGATGAAGGAATCGTCTAATCCCATGTTCTTCACGAATTTGGTGAATTCACTTGATGTGAATTCTCCACCTCTATCGACTTTAAGGCTTTGATTTTCAAGCCTTTCTCCTTCTCCACCACAGCCTTAAATGTCTTAAAGGCATCAAAGGATTGTGATTTCTCCTTCAAAAAATACACCCAAGTCTTTCGAGAGAAATCATCAATAAATAGAATGAAGTAGGTGTTCTTACCATGGGATGGCGGAGAGATAGGACCACACAAGTCTGTATGGATGAGTTCTAAAGGCTCCTTAGCTCTTGATGTTGCTTCTTTTGGGAAAGCACTCCTCGAATGCTTCCCAAGTAAGCATCCTTCACATACTTGATTGGGCTGATTGATAGGAGGTATTCCTTTCACCATGCATTTGGTAGATAACATTTTCAAGTCACCAAAATTTAAATGACCATACCTCATGTGCCAAATCCACGAATCATCCTTCAAGCATGCTTTCATGCAGTTCTCATGTTGAATGTTCAACAAGAACATTCTATTACTTGTCATTGGCACAATGGTAATCAATTTTCCTTCTGGATCCTTAACTATGGCACTACGATCTTTCAAATGAATATCGTAATTTTTCTCCAGAAGTTGTCCCAAGCTCAAGATATTACTCTTAAGACTTGGAACATAATAAACTTCTGAGATGTATTGGTGACTTCCATCTTTAGCAAGGATTAGTATCTTACCTTTGCCTTCAACCCTTGCTCTAGAATCATCTCCAAACATCACGCACCCTTTGGTTGGTTCCATGTCTACAAACAACCTCTTTTCCCCAGTCATGTGGTTACTCGCAGTGGAGTCAAGATACCACGTCTTCTTCTCTCCTTCGTCCTCGTGTCTTGCCATTAAGAGAGTGAGTTGAACTTCATCTTTAACCTCCATAAGATTGGCTTTCTCTTTTACTTGACTAGAATTCCTACACTCACTTGCATAGTGACCATATTCCTGGCAATTAAAGCATTGGATTCGAGATTTACCTCCTTTCTGAAACTTCATACCTCTTCCACGACCTCTTGTAGATTGAGAACCTTTGTTATTGTCATCCTTGGTGGATTGAACGTAGCCACCTCGAGCCCTTCCTCGTCCACGTCCTTGACATCCACTATTGCCTCGTCCAAGGCCTCTGCCACGTCCAAAGCCTCCATCTCTTTCTTTGAAAGAGAGTTTTGTGTAGAGAGCTTGCTCCAAAGATTCTTTGGGCCTTCTCTTCTTTAGTTTCTCTTCATGGGCTACTAAAGTACCCATGAGTTGATCAATGGTCATAGAGTCAAGATCTTTTGACTCCTCTATTGCTACCACAATATAATCAAAGCTTGGTGTCAAAGAGCGAAGAATTTTTTCTATTACTCTTGTGTCGCTCAAGCTTTCTCCATTCCTCTTCATCTCATTTGACACTTTCAAGACACGAGAACAATAATCCGAAACAAATTCGGACTCCTCCATTTGTAAAGCTTCAAATTCTCCTCTAAGAGTTTGAAGACGTACCTTTTTAACCTTCTCAATGCCTCTATTAGCATTCTCTAGAATATCCCAAGCCTCCTTTGATGTAGAAGCATTTGCCACCTTCTCGAACATGGAATCATCTAGACATTGATGGATAAGTGAAAGAGCTTGTTGATCCTTTCTCCTTGCTTTGTTGAGTTCCCCCCTTTGGGCAGGAGTCAAAGAAGCCTCATCTAGAGGTTTCTCATAACCTTTCTCAACAATCTCCCAAACCTCGTGAGAGCCTAAGATCGCCTTCATTCGAATGGACCACTTACCATAGTTTTCTTTGGTAAGTTGAGGGAATTGGAAAGAGATCATTCCATTTGCCATCTTACTTCAAAGCTGGACCAACACCAGCTCTGATACCAGTTTGTTAGCAAAAGAACCCTTTGGGTTATAAGGAAGAGATCTTTTAAGTGATAGGTTTAGGAAGTGAAAATGGAAGAGAAGGAAATTTTGGGAGAAAGGGAGCTTTACTACTTTGTAGTAAAAGGAAACAAGGTGGAGTGTGTTAAGCTTTTAGTTTAAGGTTTCTCACAACTCTCTACACATACTTACATTAGGGGGTTAACTCCTATTTATAGGAGTGCATGGAAGGTTCTACACTCTTTCAAGATGTTTCTACTCCTTCTAAATATCTACATATTTTATTCTAATATCTAGACTTTTCCTTACTAATATCTAGATATTTCTTCTAGATATTTTCCATGAATTTTTCTACATACTCTTGATATTTATGTAGAACATTTCTAGAACTTTCTACTTCTAGATATCTTCTTATCTAGACAATTCTTCATTGGACTTGGGCTTAGGATTAAACATAAAGATTCATGGTCCAAGTTAATAATTTTGGATAACCCAATATTAATTGGACCAAATTAAGTTTACTTACTAACACGTATCAGCCATTATCCCGCTATATACCGGCTCGCCTCCCGGCCTCTTTTCCAGTCCATGCAACGCCTTCTTTAAAGGGTATCAAAGCAATGCAAGTTAAACCCCAAAAGAAAGTGTATGTTTGGGTTCACATTTCGTAAACAGTTAGTATACATGCATATTAATTCATCATGAGACGTGGGTGACAAAATTGATTACTTAATTGAAATTTATAGGAGAATGTCACAAGATTTCAAGATGAGCTCGAAGAAGCATTGTCGAACGCTTCGACGGAGGACAAGACACGGTGATCATTACGATAGTGAATAAGGCGTATGTTGAGCCGCATCATGATCAATATCCTACCATGTTTGATATTTTTCTCGAGGGTTTTTGGGTCGGAGAAGGAACGCAATCTTTGCTAGATAATTTGTTGGTGGTAACGGAAGGTGTCGATTTTGCGGAAGAAAAGCTATATTTGTCGGCAGACTTTATCAACATGATGTGGGCTAGAACGGCTTTCCTTCTGGACGTTCTCAAGCGAGGTTACATGCAGCTTCATATTCACTGTGAGTTGATTTTTCAATGTTAATTTAATTTAAGGCATAAAAGAGAGTTTGTTTTTCTTATCGGAGTAAACTATTTAGGTTATGATCATATACATATATATTTTGGTCAAGAGATGTACATTTCTACTTTTATTAGCAATTTTACACCCCTAGAAGAGTAGTTATGAACTAGTGGGCAAGAGTGCCTTCAAGATGTATATAGTTATGAGCTTTGTAATAAATTATTCTACGTGTCACTACTACAACTACTTTGAGACGTCAAATAATATATATATATATATATATATATGCATTTAAGGATTCTGAAGTTTGCACTCTTTATCTCGTTAATGGTTTCTTTAACATAGCTGTCTGGCTAAGTCATTAGTCGACAAAAAAAAAAGAAAAACTTTGTACTGTTTACAATTCTACTAACTAATCTTTCTTTTTTTTAAAAAAACAAATTGTATAAGTTTATAAAAAAAAATGGGATATTCTTTTTTTTTTTAATAAAGAAGGAGACAGCATGTATGATTAAATTAACTTATTACCTTGATTGGGAAAATGGTATAACTTTAGTTGTAATGCAATTCTCATCGTCATTCACATCTTCTGTTGATATTTCAATGTAACTACGTTAGTTTAAACTCAGCAAGCTAATTTCTTCGGGTTATATATATAGGACACAGATATAATGTGGTTAAGAGATCCATTTCCAACACTGAAAATGGAGAAGGAAATCGACGACTTGCAAATCAGCACGGACAGATTCAACGGGTATCCATGGTCAACGCAAAACTCAATCAACACCGGATTTTATCACGTTAGTTCGAACAACAAGACCACAACGTTATTCGAAACCTGGTACGACCGAAGAACCAGTTCCGCCGGCATTAAAGAACAGGATGTTGTTCTAGCCGGATTGATAATAAAAGAAGGCGTCATCCAGAAACTAGGGTTGAGGACAAGGTTTCTCGACAACGATCATTTCAGTGGGTTTTGTACGGACAGCAAAGAAGTCAGTTTGGTGGTCACCGTCCACGCGAACTGCTGCCGGAGTATTGGCGCTAAGGTGGCGGATTTGACTAGGGTTTTGAAAGATTGGAAGACTTTTAGAGATCTGAATAACACTAGTAATGCTACGGATTCAATCTTAACAGCCAAAGACACACGACTGATGTTGCATTAAACCACGACGGTTCAAGTTTTCTGGGCAAGGCAATGATTCAGACCAAAAGTCCCAAAGAAAGAGTGTAATTCCCAACATCAGTCGTGGTTTAACACACTAGTAATTTTAACACTCCCAACATCAGTCGTGTGTCTTTTGCGGTTAAGATTGAATCCGTAGCATTACTAGTGTCGAATTCTGTTAAAAAAGATTGATAACGGAAGGCGTCGATTTCACGGAGGAAAAGGTATACATGTCGGGAGATTTCATCAAAATGATATGGGCTTGAACGGGTTTCCTTGTCGACGTTCTCAACCCGGGGGTTTACAAATTCATATTCATTGTAAGCTTCCTCTCATAAGTAAATATTGTGACTACATCAATTCAGCTTAAAAATGCACACATGTTGATAACCACTGAATGATTAAAAGTAGTAAAGTGTAAACCACCAGTTGGAATCACTAATTAAGCTTAGCTACATTGGGCCCGCGGTTTTCAAGATTTTTTTTTGTTAGATTTTAGTAAATATATAACATAATCGGAATATTTTTATATGCGTTCTAGGCTTCAAAAAAATAAAATCTTTAAAATGAAGTTTTCCATTTTTTTTTCTGGGATGTAACTACACATTCGAATTGGTGGCCAACTAATTAAGGGGCACACTAAAACAATTTTGCGTAATTTACGAACTAAAAATCTTCGTTGTAAAATATAATTATTCACAGAAGAAATTATATAATTTATTAATACAGAAAAGTGGCTCTTCAAACAAGGAAAAAACATAGTGGACAAGTGGTAAATTTTCAAGGACAACATATGCAGCCAAAAGGTCTTCCTCTCACGTTGTTCCAAGTCTTTCTGATTCTTAGATTCGTCTCCCGATGGTGTTAATTACTCCCATCATTTCAAAATATAAGTCTTTTTAGACTTGGCACGTAAACTAAGAACACAATTATTCAACAATTAATTTATATTTTAAATATCTTTTTTACTCCTTATTAATTACATTGAAACCATAAACAAGACTAAATAAAAATATATTAGCATCATTTATTGAGGGTAAATTTAGAAAAATAGACATTAATTTACCTAAAATTTGTAAAACGACCTACATTTTGAAAAATCTTTCTAAACTTAAAACGACCTACATTTTGAAATAGAGGGAGTAACTTTTAATTAGCTACTATTAATACGTTATTTTTCGAGATTGTTGAACAATAAAATGCATGTGTTGATTAGGGGCAGTGCCTCTTCTAGCCAAGGAGACAGTACCTTTTAATTTGATAGATTGTGGGAAAGTACAAGTAAAATGTAGTTTCTGCTAACGAGATAGTCCTACTAATAATACAGTATACATTCTCTTTCAATTCCAAAATAAGAATAGCACTTTTATTTTGGAACAGTGTTATTAGTATTCATTTAAATAAGAGATAGCAACGAAACTTTCAATGGGGAAATAAATTGAGAAAAGGAAAAACATAAATGTGAAAAAATCTCATGCATGTCTATGCACTTATGTGTGCCAATGAATATTTTTTAACCTTCTAGAATAAGATTCTCTTGTACTGTACTATATATGTTATATTGTCGTATGATTACATTCGCTTCAATTAACAGAGTCGATTGGGAAGGGTGAGGGTCATCATCTTAAAGAACCAATTGATCAGCTCGTCTGAATGATGTTTGCCAATTTTTGCAGGACATTCAAACAGTTTTTGGGTGGAGGAGTACCTTCTATTGATGCATTGCGAAGTTAAAATTTTGCCTGTAAAACGGAAATCTTAATTCATATACAGATTTGTCCATTTTTTATACACATTTCTTCTTCTCTATTTCCTTTTAACATTACACACGTGATATTCGGGTTTGATTAAGTTCAATTTGTATGTGCAAAAGTTTCAATTTTCACATGGAAACTCTCATCTAATTAGTTGATGCATGGCATTGATCCTTGCCAAAGAATATATTACTTAGCTTCTTTGCTAACTACTGTGTTACTAGGCAATGTAACTTCAGATGAGTTTCCGACAGGTGTTAAACCTTGGTTGGATCACGACATCGTCGGTGAATATCTTGCCAAAAGAAAGTAATAACTTAATAGGCTGATACCTCCTCCTTTATTACTTGAGGGGAACACAAGTTTTGACCTTAGTTACCACTAAGGTTTGAACTTTGAAGACTCAAGAATACTGCTACTGGTTTTTCCAATTGGTTCTATTGTTCTTCCTTGGAATCAAGTGTGATACCTGGAGGCATGCTTCTCCATGTTATTACTTGGAAATAAAAATAAATAGGGCAATACTTAAAATTTACCTGAGATAATTTGAAAGATTAATTTTGTATAACGCCATAACCCCTAACATTTTTAAACCCAGAAATTTCTTAACACAACATGATCCTACTACACATACTAGCTAAACAGAAACAACTCGGATAAACGTCTTACAAGTTACACAATTATTAAATTTTGGGTCACTGACATAAGTAATTAAGGCCTTAAGGAGACTTACATAAACCAGGATTAACACACGGAAGGTCCGAACGAAAAGTCTTCATTATGAAAACATATTTAGTCACCCAATAAGGTAAACCATATACAAGTGGTTAATTTTGAAAGACTATGCAGCAGTCAAAAGTCTTCCCTGTATGCATGTATGTATGCTTTTAAATCATTAGATCCATCTTTCCACACTTCCTCAACTCTTTCACAACTGATAAATATTCTTTCTTCTTCTTGATTCTTCTCCCCAAATTTCATTACAGATTAAGAACTATAATATGGAGTTTGTCACGAAGAAGTACTACTTCGTCACCAATCTTGTCCTCCTCTTTCTATTCTCAATAGCCATTATCCCACTTTATTCCGGCTTGCCTCCCGGCATCTTTTCCAGTCCATTCAACGCCTTCTTTAAAGGAAATCAAAGCAATGTAAGTAAATGTTTCACATTTCGTGCACACTTAATTACTATATATTCATGCTAATTCATCTTGTTAGTGTGTGTGACAAAATTGATTACTTTATTGAATTTTTAGGTGAATGTCACAGGATATCAAGATGAGCTAGAAGAAGCATTGTCCAAAGCTTCCACAAAGGACAATACGGTGATCATCACTGTAGCAAACAAGGCGTACGTCGAACCCCACAACGACCAATATCCGACCATGTTTGATATTTTTCTCGAGGGTTTTTGGGTCGGAGAGAAAATACGCAATTTGCTGGATCATTTGTTGGTGGTTTCCATGGACCAAACTGCCTACGACCGATGTTTGTTTAATCGGTTGAACTGTTATAGATTGGTAACGGAAGGCGTCGATTTCGCGGAGGAAAAGCTATACATGTCGGAAGGTTTCATCAAAATGATGTGGGCTAGGACGGGTTTGCTCGTCGACGTTCTCAAGCGGGGTTACAACTTCATATTCACTGTAAGTTTTCCCTTGTGACTACATCAATTCAGCTTGAAAATAATGCAAGCATGGTAATAAACATCTTCTTCTTGAGTCCACAGTCCAGTAAGTAAACCACCAAATGAGTAAACTTAGTAGTGTAAACCACTAGATGGAATCGCTAATTAGGTTACCTACATTGGGCCGGCGGTTTTCAAGATTCATTTTTTGTTAGATTTTAGTAAATATATAACGTAATCGGAATTTTTTATACGCGTGCTACGTTTATTCGATTTGCAGGCTTCGGAAAAATCAAATCTTTGAAATGAATGCCTTATATTTCCGTTTATTTATTTATAATTCTGGGATGTGTACATTCGAAGCGCTCTTAGCATCGTTTTATTTTTGTTGTACTTCTGTCGGTGGCAAACTAATTAAGGGCACACTAAAACAATCTTTCGTAATTTTCGAACCAAAAAATTTTCTTTGTGAAATAAAATATAATTATCTATAAGAAACAGCCATTCCAAAATTCAATTGTGAATTATTTTTGTAGGACAAAGAGAGTATAATTTCTTGCAGAAAAGTGTGGCCTCTTCAAACAAAAGAAAACATATTGTAGACAAATGGTAGATTTTCATTTTTCAAGGACAACATATGGCAACCAAAAAGTCTTCCTCTCACTTTGTTCTAATTAAGTCTTTCTGATTCTCGTCTCCCGATGGTATTAATTAACTTTTAATTAGCTTACTATTTGTTATTTCGAGATTGTTGAACAATAAAATGCATGTGTTGATTAGGGGCGGCAGTGCCTTCTTCTATGCATCATGCATGATGTCAATGTAAATTCTGAAACTTTCTAGAATAATTTTTTCAGTAGTAGTAGTACCATATATGTGTCACATAGTTTGTACTCCCTCTTGAAAATCCAAACTGAACAACAATTTTGAGACTGATACAGTATCATTATATTCACTTCAATACAATCAATAGAAATACTTGGGTCATCATCTTAAAGAACCGATTGATCAGCTCTTCTGAATGATGTTTGCCAATTTTTGCAGGACATGGATATAATATGGCTAAGGGATCCATTTCCGATATTATTAGGACCGGAGGGAGTAATGCTCAACGAAACAGATGACTTGCAAATTAGTACGGACAGATTCAATAATGATCCGAGATCAATTGATAACGCGATCAACACTGGATTTTACCACATTAGATCAAACAACAAAACCATAACCTTATTGGAAACCTGGTACGACCGAAGACGAATTTCCAACACGACAAAAGAACAAGATGCTTTGCGGCGTTTGATTTGGGAAGGTATCATCAGGAGATTAGGGCTCAAGGTTAGGTTTTTGGACACCCTTTATTTCAGCGGGTTTTGCCAAAATAGCAGAGATGTAAAGTCAGTGGTCACGGTCCATTCAAATTGCTGCTGGAGTATTGGAGCTAAGGTTTCCGATTTAGCCATTGTTTTAAGAGATTGGAGAATGTCCATGAAGTTTAGAGATCCTGCGGCAAATAGTAGTGAATTTCAATGGTCACCTCATGATTTCTGTCGAAAAGCTCGGGAAAAACCACCTCAAGTTTAGTTTAGGGAAAGAGCAATAGGAGCTTAATAGTCTCTATTTACAATTATTTATGTTTGGGAACATGTATGAGGTATTGGCTAATGAGGTTATAACTAGCTGGTGTGGGACCGCGTGAGGTGCGGTTGTGGGTGTAAGGTACCCGGTTATGTTTTTGATATATTATAAAGTAAACTAGATGTTTGGCCCAGACAGATGCCCGGGCGCCCCTTCTAAATTACTATTTTATTAAAATCTAATTGAATTACTATTTTTTGAGGAATTAATTTGGTGTATATATCATTTATGCTATGGTTTGGGGCTTAAAAAAATATACCTATAAATCTGAGGTTATAAGGGAATAATAAATAATTAGTTTATAATGCATTATTCTTAATTACTGGATTTAAGTTTTTTTATTTTTTGTTTATATTAAGCCTGCAAAACTGTACGATTGGACATTTGAATTTGAATTAATATATTTATTCGTTTGAAATGTAACTGATTCTTATTTGTAGAATTTTTTCATTGGATAAGTGTCACATCTAAAACATGTGTTTTTTTTTTAAAAAAAGAATTATATAGCTTCTAATTAAAAGAGACATACACGTGGCAAAAAAACTCCTGAAATCTGAAATATATGGTGCATTGGAGCCAAAACAGATGCATACGTAATTGACACATAAGCTTCATGTCTTCTACTTTAATAGGGTAAAAGGGATAAATAGCGTAAGACGGATAAAACTTCATTTTATTACACAACATTACAATTTTGAGTGATTACAGAAAGGAAATCTAATATAATATATCAAACTAAAATCAGATCAGAAAAATATGTTCAATTAGGTAGCAACCTAATCAGAATCATGTAGTTGTTCTAATCTAAGATTGTTAAAGAGTATTCCAATCAACCCAGTTGATCTAATTGACAACTTGAGGAATTTTGTTAATTCTAGAGTAAAAATCAACCTTGAAATTTAGCTCTACACATTGCACATTCACTGTCTACCCTTGGCATTGTGTCCTCATTTTGTGCGTTGGATGCTCAAAGCTCATCAGCCCTTGTTCACTATGAAACATGCATCCTGCAAACGAAAAAAAGGAACTAAAGAGTTTGAAGACTTAAGACTCATCAAACAGTTCAATCACCTCTAGTTGTTCTTGTTTAATTTACAAGTTGGAAATGGTGCATATGATTTGGCACAACCAACTTTAATGTAGTCTAAATCATCTAAAATCATCACAGAACCATCTACAGCAAATCCGTAGTACAGCTACCTTAAGATCAATTAGTTAAAGAGATTTATCATCTTACCAGGGTAGCAAATATCGTTCCAGTCTTGCTATCACAGATAAGGTCCCGTATCTTGAAGTGTCCTGTAAGCTTCAATGACAACCAGGGACTTCATTGCTGCATTTTGCAGTCTATACTGCCAAATTTGTGCACATAAAATAAATTGTTCAAGCTCCCAGCAAACAGGTAATCTATGTCATCATACTCATAGGAAACCCTGCAATTGAAAAAATTTGAAATACAGTTGAAAAATATTCAATCTTTAAACCAGGTGCATAAGCATAGAATACATATTTTAGTATATCATCATTACTGTACACAAAAATGATAAATATATTTATTTGATCTTCTAAGTGTTCTACGTAAATTGTGGCCTACAATTTTTTCACATGAACCATACTCCGGGAATCCCTACCTTGAATAAATTTTCTTTTTCTTGCCAAATAAACTCCTTATTATCTCAAATTCTTGCCTTCCCAATGATTTTCAAAATGGATAAGTTCTTATCGTGATTTTTTTTACACTCACAACAAAAATCTGACCAAAGTAAGCATTGATCACAACAAAAACTCAAATTGAAACATCTAAATCAGAGCAACCCAAAGAGTAGAGAATCAAAATCTTCTCAAGATATAGAGAATCACCTCATGGAAGCTGAAGAAAAGTATTGGTTGATCAATCTTACGTGAAAAAACTCTAGTGCAGCATAGTTGATGCCAGCGTCAGTATCGCCAATTTAATATGTTGGGCCATATAACTCTCTTTTGCCATGTCCTCATTAAAGTAAAACCATCATCCCATGACATCCATAACTGCTTGCTTCCCAATTGAGAAAAGAAAAAATGACAAAATTGAGGCAACATGAAGGAGAACCAAGATCTAGCTCAAGTCATCCACGTACCCACTCGCTTACTCTATCAAACCAATAAGAACATGTAGCAAGGAATCCATTCAGCCAACAGATGTAACACATTCATCATAGCTGATATGTTACATGGATACTTTCCAGTCTCCTGGTAAATCACTCAGCAGTAGCTTAAAGAAAAGATCTGGTGTAAAACAAAGAGATCAAGAAAACTCTGTGCATAGGTTTAGAATCAATCCCAATAAAATTCTCTTTTGAAAACCCCAAAAACAACAGAGGCTACCCATCATTTGAAAAGACACATACATACACTTGAACCCAAGAACATCAACAAATTCATGGCTAAATGGAAAACTAATAAAATAATTAATCCCTTCTAACTAAAAGCCTTTTCTGAATTCTGCTTCAAATAAACACAGAGGTCCTCACGCAGTCCCAACATTGCTGATCTACAGACAGAAGGACAGAACGAGATCTGGGAACGCGAACTTTCTTCGTTTTATAGTCTGTGTAATATCGTCATTTTTGCATTAGTAAATCCTTGTTCTTCCGGTACCAGTCTAGAAACAAAGGAAAAGGTAGCAGAAATTGTAGATATATATCAGAAATGTAAATTGCTTCAAGGAGGGAAGATGGGATTTCATGTAGCAAATCCTCTCGGTGTCCGTTAGCCACTGCTAACCTACGCCGTTCTTCTTGAAAAAACTCCACCGATCTTGTCTTCCAGAATGAGGATTTCCCATTTTTGTAAGCTTCTCTTGTAATCTACTAATCAATCAACAAGCATCCACCATGGGCAGCGTGAATCCTACTTCAGATCGAATTCCTTAGTCACAAATTGTGGCAAATAATCGGCAACGGGATGCGGGCCTTCCTTTGAAACATTTTCCCCAACAATTCACTGAGACTGAAATCAACATTGATACTGAGGAATGGAATGAAGGCCTCGAATCATGGGGAAATTGTCTTGTGGGGTTCGTGTATGGATTGAGGCCTCGATTGTATGAGATTCAACAATACATTCGTGCAAGATGGGGCGATGAAAATGGGGTGCTTGACTTTTGGGTGAGCCAAACCCAAAAGTGTGGAACAAAAAATGTGTAGGGTTTATTTTGTAGACAAATATAATCTTCTCGCGTTTTGAAAATGCGAAACAATCAAATTAGATTAACATTTCGCGTTTCACAAACGCGAATAATGTTAATTCCATGCACTCAGATTCAAACGGGTCGAAAGCAAAAAAAAAAAAAAGAAAAATAGGTTTTTCGCGTTTTAGAAACGCGAAAAACGTAAGACGCGTTTGCAAAGCGCGAAACTTTGTTTTCGCCTTTGCAAAGCGAGAAACTTTCTTTTCGCGTTTTCAAAACGCGAGAAAATATTTTCGCGTTTAAAAAATGCGAAAATCTGTAAGTTTAAAAGCGTAAATTTTGCAAATAAGAATTTAGCGTTTTGAAAACGCGAAACAAAATTTCTAGCTTTTTTAAAGCGCGAAAAATAGATTTAGCGTTTTTAAAACGCGAAAATATCCAGAAAATCTCCTCATCCACTCACCCGTCTCCACGTGTATTTTTTATGATAAGTCTGGAATGTATTCGCGTTTGTTAAACGCGAAATTTAAGATTCATATATAAAACAAGCTTTAACAGCATTTCTCCGCAAATTTCTTTCATTGTTCAGCTCCGAATTTTCTTTCCAAATTTCTTTCATTCGTTGAACTCCGATTTTAAGTTTTACTCCGGAGGACTTGCTGAATCGTGAAAACTCTCATTTTCTTCAAATTGAGAAGTTGCTCCGAGGTTAAAGAAGATTGATTTGAGTCCTGAAGCCTATTTAAAACTCTAAGTTTTAACATTGAGGTAAGTTTATTTCGTTATTAAAAACATGTACTTTTTTATGTTTTATTATGAGCATAGGATGATTTACGCATTATTATTAGTTAATATATAATTGTGATTTAGTCAATTAATGGTGGTTTTTTATTGAGGCTGATAAAGTAAATTGAAAGAAATATTAGTTAATAGAATATTAAATTAGATGAGCATTGTAAATTATTGTACATCGATTTCGTAAAATAAAATAAAATTATAATAATGATATTGAATTTTGAATATTTACAAGAAAAGAATAAATTATGTAATTCGGGCATAAGGTTTAGATTTAATATTAATTTTGAGCATACAAATGAATTTGTAAATTCAGGCGTATAGTTGTTATTTTAAAATTATTAAATCAGAAACGGGGTAAATACTATGGCCGCAACCGATTTCGTAGGAATTGATTTTGCAGCCGCAAATGTCTTTCACGAGACAGTTAAATGCGAAATTATCTTGGAATACTACTTATACAACCGAACTGATGGGACTATCACGGTGCACATGGGATGCGCCGGACGGTTATCTTATCATTGATCGTATGTTAGATTTCTCGGAACTTGTTGATAAGGTATTAAGTGTGATCGGAGTTGATAGAGAAGGGCTTTATATTGATTTTTCTTTGGTATGGACGGAGAGGTCAGGAAAAAGGTTTCGTGTGCACATTAATGATGATAATACTGTTCGGTTCATTTATCTTTGTGCTGATAAATGGCCAGAATTGTACCCTGAAAAAGTTGAGAGAACAGCCATGTTTATGCAAGTACATCCGCCGGGATATTGGTGCCGCACTAGTGGTGGTAGAACAATTGAAGACAATGAAGATGGAGATGAAGATGGAGATGAAGATAAAGATGAAGATAAAGATGAAGATGCGGATGAAGATGAAGATGTCGGGGTGTCGAAGCGGTGATGATGAGTACGTCCCATCGGATGAGGACTCAGATGACGACACTGATTTTGAGTCATCTTCTTCAGTCCCATATGTTTTCGACGACATAAGTGGATGGGACAAGACTTTAGAGGAAGTAGAAAACGATGGAATTAAAATGTGGGATGGCAATCCGTTGACGCTAGGCCTTGATATACATTTCACCAACAAGCCTGAGGCACAAGCGGCAGTGGGAGAATGGAACTTGGTACATGGTCGGACTTTCCGGGTGAAAACG